AAATAAGAGCTGAGAACAATAAATGCTCAGTTTTTAACTAATAAACCACTCGGGACAGAACCGTTGGGTTGATATTGGAACCAAGGGCCAGATAGGCGAAACTTAAGAACAAACAGACTAGGCTTTGTAAAATGAAACAGCGGGTGTGAGCAACAAATGACATGTGGCTCGCATCTATTAGACACTCGAGAAAAGGTCGATGACGAAAGTTATAAACAATATCCCTAATCCTGGATTGGCTCAGCAGTACACGTACTCCGCTCTCGGCGTCACTAACGCGCCATATAAAAGGAGAGGTCCTCCACGAGGAGCGTCACTTCTTTTTCGGGACTCGGCAGTTATTAGACTTTTCCTTCGGGACTCGACTGTTATTAGACTTCTTTTTCGGGACTCGGCAGTTAGTCGTAACAATCATTATTCCTTCGGGACTCGTCATATTCATTCGGTACTCATTATAAAGTCACTGGTTAAACTCCATCTCCGCAATTGCGAGTTCGCGATACGCGTTGAAGTGACTCGACCGAAGTTTCCACATCCGAGTGCCAACCTTCCGAGGAGTCCTGAGGCCAACGACTTCGATCTACCCACATCCGCAGAATACAACAATAGTAAGTCCTATATACACACATACACACTCACCCGCATATATATAAAAAAAAAACCCAACCACTATAATTTACATCAAATTATAGTGCCGCGTCCGAACCGTCCTTTCAAAGGGTGGCTACGAAGCCGGGCCTACCGGGAGGCACGGAAACTCTTAGACGAAGAGTTCAAGAGATATCTCGGGAGCTCACAAGAGCAGAATCGTCCGGTCGAAGGTCGCCTACCATCCGGGTCACCACCGGCTCCGCCGGCAAATCACCCCCGATACCGCTTCCCCAATACCGCTTCCGCCTCAAACACCTTCGCCTTTACCACCTCAGGCACCTCCTTCTCCTCCCCCTCGAACTCCTTCACCTGCGTTTTCGGACGCACTGACAGAAAGAATCCTTCCCGATTTGCATCCACTTTCATCCGATTCGTTCCACCCAACTCCCCCCAGAAGTCCATCTCCGACGAACTCCACGGACAGCGTGGAATTCCTAGAGGAAATTCCTCCACCCCCACCTAGATCCCACTTCCGGATCCTGGAGAGTGACACTTTCGAGTCACTCATCTCTCAATTCCCGCGGGTAACCGCCGCATCTATCCCTCAGGGGGCCTACACTATCGGCCCTCACTACTTTGATCCTCATGAAATCAGAAATGCCATTACCGGTCGAAGCCCTACCTCAAATATCCCCGTATTCCTCCCAAATTCCCCCAATGCAATATTAGTGCCTGTAAGATTTTTCCATAATCTTTTCCCCCCTTCCTCCGTTTCCATCCTTGAAGTATGTTAACCCAAATCTATCCGATCCCCCCCCCTTTTTACACAATGTATAATTTAGATATTATAAAAGCGTAACCGTTTTTGAAATAGACATACTGTGTGCTAATAACCATAATGTATAGAGTAGACGTAATAAATATTATTATATAAACGATTAGCATATAATTGCGTAATTTCCTATTGTCAATTAGCCATAATAAATAATGTTACTGATCATTTGTCTCGCTCTCATTCTCTATTTTTAAAACCCGCCTGATAGAACAACGACCTCGTAAACACCAAACCTTGCCCTTTCAAAGATTGCACGTGGTCCATTCCCGAGTTAAAGGGATTTTTCCTTGACTCGAAATTCGGACCGACGATCGCACCGCCCGTAGGAAACAGGCGTCATAGCGTCTTCACGAGACGTTGACCCATATTCCGAAGCGGACAAAAAAAAGGGTGCGTTTGACACGCCGGTGTTTGTTTCCAGGCAAATACCTGCGAGACTAGAGTCTGACCGTCCTTCCACGCTCCATCCTTTTCTACTCCCTTCTTTCTCTCTCTAAAAACCCACTTTTCCGGAGCTTGGACGTAACAGAACATTACACTTTAAATTTTTAAAGTACACTTCTTAGTCTATATCTCAGGTTTTAATAATTAACGACATTAATAAAATATGCAATGCTTTTGCTAATAAATAAAAAACAAGTGACGCTTGAAAAAAATTAAGCAAATGCTAACGAATCTTGTGTATACTATTTGATAGAAAATACTATAATTATTTAAATACAATATGTCATATAACGTATGTATATGCCGTTTAATCAGCAAATATTGAATGAGCATACAGATAATCTAGATTAGATTGCATTCCTTTTCGCGGAATTTTTATTTATGTATTATTACAAGGTAACTATACTTACAACATTATATCTTTATATTAATAATAGTACAAATATATTCAATAGATGCTTTTCACTTATATGGCTTCTAATGACACGTGTCGACTTGAGTTGAAGCTGATAATTTTGATAAAATATTTCATACATTAAAGTTATGTGCATAACATAATGCTCTTTGTAAAATAAAGATAAGTGCAATTATTCTTATAATAATAATAATATAATTTATCAATTTAAATATAAAAAATAATGTTGATTTTATTATTATTTTTTATTTGTATTGTCAAAATATTTTTAAAGATGTACATATAATTTTATGTACTTACATGTATATTTACACTATCATAGAATTTATTTCTGTAAAGTAAAAGTACGAAATTTGTAAAAAACACCGGGGCTAAATGAGCATCTTAATTTTTCAATTACAGTTTTCAATGACAAAGTAAATGATTTTAGTTAAATAATTATCAGCGTTTTATGAGTGATTATAAGATTATAATTGCTACTACTAAATAGTAATAAAAAGTTTTGATGTTTGCAACTTTATTTCATTCATTTAACATTTTTTCATTTTTATTTCACAAAAAATGATGTGACCTCGGAAAATAAAATTTGAAGAATGTCGAGGCTAGGTGGACACCCCCTTCCCTTATGGGCTAAATGGGCACTATATTTTTTCGACGCAATATGAAATGAAAACACATCATTATAATCAACAAATAAAGAAACTGTATTAAATTTTATTTCGAATCTTTAATTTGTCTATCTTGAATCTACTGATTCCACATATTAAACAAACTTTTTTTCAAATTTTTTCGCCACCAATGCAGTTTTTATATTATCCTTTTTGACGGTTAGCACAGCTCCAGACATCCTTTTTATCGACGGAATCAGTTTTATGCTTGTAATTACTAACCATGCTGTAATTAACACAAAAATATAGTAAAAATATTGAATAAATAATATGAATAAAAAATCGAGGTTAAGTGGTTTTACTACTTAGTAGCCCCGATGACTTGGTGCTCTTTTAGTCCCAAACGTATATATTGTAACTTTTGACATAAATATAAAATTTAAACAATTCTGAAAACAGAAAAAATAACATCACAACTGTGTTCAAAACATATAGATTTACTTATCCAAACAATTCTGAATTTGAAAAATAACAACCAGGATACATATTGTCCGAACATTCACAAAATTACTTTTCACTATCAAAAACACATTTGACTATCTAAACATAACAATGCGGCACCTAAACTAACCAAATTTTATTGGTAAAAAAAAACACGAGATACCATCTACAATATATAAATTGGAAATTTATAAGATATATTTTTGCCACTCAAAATTCATATGCCAGCTTAGACTCGGTGCCTACTTTATCTCCAATCTGTTCTATTATACAAGAACAATGTTAATATATAGTTGTTTTTTATCATTAAACCGGAAACATCATTCTTAAGGAAAGTATATTAAGAATAATATTATAATTTCTAAATAATTTAAAATCTGTGTTAGCATAACAACCGCTAGTCTCGGGGAAGGAAAACTAGTTGCAGTAGTGATCCCCGGGGTGGGTGGGTCCCAATCACCACGACACAGCGCGTCCTCGGGTTGCGGATAGAGGAAAAGCCTCGCTATCTCGGTTAAGGATAGAGGTTAGCTGCGAATAAATTGAATAAGCAGTCGCGGACAGCCGATTGGAATGGTCCTCCTGTTTGGGGGTTGGGCGTGGGTTTGATAGGCTCACACCGTGAAACGACTTTATCTAGAAACAACCAAAACTCGCCATGGATTCTTCTGGGGTAAAATTTTCCGGAGGTAAACTAGTCCCCCGTTCGGATCTCCGGGTGGGGACTACCTCGGGGAACTCATGTCGTATAAAGTCAAAAAGCGGGAGAGACATCAAAGTGGGTACGTGGAACGTCCGAAGTCTTTACAGACCTGGGGCGTTTCAATCGATGGTCGGGGAGGTCGAAAGGTACGGGGTAGAAGTTGTCGCGTTGCAAGAAACAAGATGGGCCGGGGAGGGTTCGCTTAATGCGGGTTCGTACACGCTTCACTATGGAGGGTCGGAGATCCATAGTCTTGGCATCGGTTTTATGATTAATAGGAAAATCTTATCCGCGGTAAAAGACATTAAATTTATAAACGAAAGATTAGGATTGCTCGTTGTGCAGGGCCGATGGTACAAGATCGCGATAATCAACGTACACGCGCCGACGGAAGATAAAGATGGCGAAATTAAAGACGGGTTCTACGAAGAACTCGAACACCTCGTGGATCAATTACCGAACGATTACATGAAAATAGTCGTGGGAGATTTTAACGCGAAAATCGGTAAAGAGGACATTTTTAGACCAACGATCGGGCTCGAAAGTTTGCACGAGGAAAGTAACGATAACGGAGTGAGGGTAATTAACTTTGCGACCGGCAAAAATCTTATCGTCAAAAGCACGTATTTTAAACACAAAAATATCCATAAACAAACTTGGATTTCCCCGGATGGAGGCACGCGTAACCAAATTGATCACGTTCTTGCAGATAAACGGCGTCACACGAACGTACTCGATGTCAGGTCTTATAGGGGGGCGGATTGCGACTCGGATCACCTCTTTGTAATTGCCAAAATCAGGGAACGTCTTTCGCTAAACAAAACTAACGGGCAGTTGTTTGGAACTAAACGTCTAAATGTACAAGGTTTGATCGAGGGAGAAAACGGAATAAAATACGCGGTCGAAGTAACGAATAGACTCGCGGCTTCAAAGGAAATAGATGAATCGGATGATAACACGGTTGATAAACACTGGGAAAACGTACGAGACGCGATAGTAAAATCGGCGGAGGCCACGGTTGGTTTTTGTAAAAGGAACAAAAACAAGCCGTGGTTTGACGAAGAATGCGTAAAAATTGTTAAAGTACGAAACGAAGCGCGCATCACGTGGTTGGCTCAAAATACGAAGGAAACTCGGGATCAGTTTCTTAAGATTAGGCAAGAGGCTCATAATATGTTTAAAATTAAGAAGCGTCAATACTTAAAACGTAAAATTGAAGAAATAGATGAAAATTGTAAAAGCAGTAACGTACGAGGCACGTACATGGGGATAAATAATTTTAGAAAGGGATTCCAAGCTAGGACGGAAATGGTGAAAGATGAGAACGATAATTTAGTTACGGATACAACGGCAGTTTTAAACACATGGAAAAATTATTTTGATCGGTTATTGAATGTCGAATCTGAAAACGACCGGGAAATAGAGAATTTTGAGTATCACACGGCTGAACCTAGGATTAACGAACCGACAATTTCAGAAGTAGAAAGCGCGATTAAAAAATTAAAAAATCACAAAGCACCGGGTAATGACTTGATTCCGGCGGAACTGATTAAATGGGGGGGAAGTAGATTGATAGAAGAAATTCAGAAATTAATTATCTTAATATGGAATAAAGAAGCATTGCCGGAACAATGGAAAGATTCAATTATAATCCCGATTTTCAAAAAGGGGGACAAAATGAGTTGTAATAATTACCGGGGTATCTCACTTTTACCTACATGCTATAAAATTCTGTCGAATATTTTATTAATGAGGCTTGTACCATATGCAGATGAGATAATTGGAGATCATCAATGCGGCTTTAGGAGAAATAGATCGACTGCGGACCAAATCTTTACTATTCGGCAAATCTTGGAGAAAAAATGGGAATTCGACCAATCGGTACATCAACTTTACATTGATTTTAAAAAAGCGTATGATTCGATAAAACGGGAGAAAATGTATGAAATTTTAACTCGGTGGGGGATACCCAAAAAATTGGCTAACTTAGTCCAAGTTTGTTTAAAAGATACCAGAGGTAGAGTAAGAATAGGTAATCAAATGTCGGAAACTTTTAATATTCATAGCGGATTAAAGCAGGGGGATGCATTGTCACCTCTTCTGTTTAATCTAGTATTGGAATATGCTATTAAAGAAATGCAGAAGAGTAATGATGGTTTGCAGTTGAACGGTACAACACAAATATTAACATATGCGGACGATATTGCTTTGTTGGGAGATAATAAAGAAACACTAATAAATAACGCTAAAATTCTATTAGATAAAACGAAAGAACTGGGGCTGCAAATAAACGTTGAAAAAACTAAATATATGGTCACTGATAGAATTCAGAATATTCATAATAACGGAAACCTGGTCGTCTGTGATAAAATTTTTGAACGGGTTAGCAATTTTAAGTATTTAGGATCGATTTTAAACCAAACTAATGAAATAAGAGAAGAGCTCAAGAGAAGAATTAATTTGGGGAATGCGTGCTTCTATTCGGTTAAGAAACTACTCGGTTCGCGGATATTGTCTAGGCGCTTAAAAATTAGAATTTACAGAACGATTATTTTACCGGTAGTCCTTTATGGCAGCGAAGCGTGGTCACTTACATTACAAGACGAGAAAAGATTTAGGGCTTTCGAAAATAAAGTACTTCGAAAAATCATCGGGGCAAAACGCGATGAGGAAACGGGCGAATGGAGAAAATTACACAACGCAGAATTACATCAATTATATAATAGTCCGGATATTATTAATGTCATAAAATCGCGTCGATTAAGATGGGCAGGTCACGCGGCGCGTATGGATGAGAATCGAATTGCATATAAAGTACTAATTGGTAAACCGGATGGGAAAAGACCATTGGGTAGACCAAGACGTAGATGGGAAGATAATATTAGAATGGACCTTAACGAAATGGGGTACGAGGGTCACAAATGGAGGGATCTGGCTCAGGGACGGGAACAGTGGCGGGATTTGGTATTTGCGGCAATGAGCTTTCGAGTTCCTAACGCCTAATAATAATAATAATAATAAATAATTTAAAATAAATTTTCTTCTACCAGAATGCCACGAGAAAAGTTCCGTGATGCAAACATTTCTGTTCGAGAGGTCGTCAATAAATTAATAGATCCAATAATTCTATAGATAATTTTTTGAGATTGCGTGAAAAAACTGTGATAAAAATCATCATACAGGTAGTAGTACAAAACTTACAATAGGAGTGATCATTCATGAATTTCAAAGAAATACGAACCGGGAATAAAACTGCCGGCGAAGTAGCAAGAATTTTGAAATAGTTAGTTATTGTACACAACGTGTGCTAAACTGGCTACAAATACTACAATAAGATAAAGGTTTAAAGTCCTTGATGCCTCCTCATACTCAAGGACATAAAACTGCGAGATTGAAGTTTGCTCGAAGTCATATGACTTGATATAAAGAATGGAAAAATGTTGTATTTTTTAACACAAAAAGTAACCTACATGAACCTGATGCTTTTAAATATTACTCGCACAATTTACGAACTGATAAAGCAGTAGCTATGAGCAGAAATTTCGACGGAGGATGTTTGATAGGATGGACTGCGTTTAATTATTCAAAGATGTCAATATGCAAAATTTGTATCAGAATAAACGCAGAAAAAGATATTGACTTATTAGTAAACTTAATGTTTAATTGCATTTACCGAAGAAAATCGCAAACAAAATGTTATTTTACAACAAAACAACGCTGCTATACTCAGTGCAAAGAAAACATAAGAGATTTCGACAGAAAAATTTGTTACAAAGTTTGATAATATTATCTCTTTCAATAGAAATAACCATGGGAGTAAATTGATCAAAATAAACTGGGATTAGAGATAATAGTTAATTTTAAGAATATTTTAAGAATATTCTCAGCATATTTATAATAACTATTGATAAATATCTATTACTATTTATTTCATTAAAATGTTACATAAATATTTTACACATTCACTTTTTTAAGTTTTATTTTTGAAATATTATTAAAATATGAACTAAGTA